GAACAGCTAACATGGAAAAATCACATAAATTCTGTAAGAACAAAAATATCTAAATCTATTACAGTACTATACAAAGTCAGGGAATTATTAAATGATAAAGCTCTGTACATGTTGTATAACACAATCATTGTTCCACATTTAATCTATTGCATTGATGTTTGGGGGAAAGCGTGTAAAACATTTACAAAACCTATTTTATTTTACAGAAAAGAGCTGTAAGAATTATCACCAGAAAGCATTACAGTCACCCATCAAGCACATTATTTTATCAACTGAAGTTATTGAAGTTCCATGATTTGGTAATTATAGTATTTTATCAGTTATGTATAGGGCTCAAAATAACACATTACCGTTAAATATTCAAAATAAATTTGTTAAAAGACAAAGTTGTTATAATCTTAAGGGGATAGAGATATTTGTCAAACAAAAATTCAGAACTAGTCTGAAGGGAAGGTCTACCTCAATCCAAGGAGTTGGATTGTGGAATGGTCTAGTGAGTGATGTTAAAAATGCCAAGTCAATGTGTACATTTAAGAAAAATATCAAAACTGTATTGTTAAAAAAAATATATATGAAGTAGCTTAGTGTGTTTTTTGTAGTAGAATTAGAAAAATTAGAAAGAGTTATTCATTTTGTTCTGTTACTTGAAAATTATTATGATTGAAATAATTGTTTGAAAAAAGGGGCAGATATAATAAGATTTTTTCTTCTTTCTGCTGCCTTTCATTTTAAATCTTTTGTATCTTTTTTATATTGTTATGGAATTGTTTTGTACTTTTTTTAAATGAATAAACTTTATACCAATACCAGTATAGTCTGACTCAATAAGCATTTTTAATATTGACGATTTACATAATTTAAAACTTTTTGCGCTAAATTGCTTACTTCTTTACTAGACAGGTGACATCATAGCTTTATGTAAAGAATATGTACATAAACTAGTCAGATAAACTTTATATACATACATATACATAAACTTCTGCATTTTTAGGACACACATAATTTTTTAACTCAAAAACCATGAATCAAGTCTTGTAGTTCTTGTTGCCACCAAGTTTTTTGGTTGAGTTGTTGTGGGCAGAAATGACTATTTTGGATAAACGAGCATCTCTGAAGATAATGGTTAGTTTCAAGAATGTATTCAAGTTATTGTTCTGCACACACTAAACTAATGAGCAGGTGTGTATTTTTACCTGGTGGTCTGTGTCTAAGTCTGACCAACTCCAAATCATGAGTCCTCTGCTGCAACGTGGCCTTCAGGACCTGTTGGTACTCCTTCTCCTTCTGAAGCAGCTCCTCCAGCAACCTGCACCAACACCAACATCTGTTATGCACACACACACAGACTGATCAACCACAAACTGCAAATGTATTACAAAGTTATTTGTCACTTCACTATATATACAGTATATATATATATGCATACACAGTATATATATATATATAT